CCAGTCTCACCGCTCTGTCAGATAACAGTAAGTTCCCCCCTTTTCTTTTTTCTTTTGCCATTTCATGAATTAATGAGAATCGATCCGCAGTGAGATTTCGAGGAAATCCGCGCCGCCATAACCGGACATCCTCCCGATATGCACATAGCAGTGTATATTCCTTCTTCCCTCTTTCCATATTTAGTCCCCATTGACTTTTTCAATGACACCTTTCCCCCTTCCTCCGTAATAATTAACGAAATTAATTAACAACCTAACATGTATTGCCTCTCCGACAACGCACACACTTTTAACACTATCAAACTCAATAGCGCACAATTAATCAATAATTGTACAAATATACCACTAACCATGTCGACTTGTCAAGTTTTTCTTCGATGTATGTAAATTTAATGATTATTTGTAACTTAATTTACGAAATATATGTAACCTTAGCAATTATGTTTTTATGTAATTATAAAATTCATGCGAAATTTATGCGAACCTATAAATGATAACCTTTAACTTAATTCAATTACAAAATATGTGTAAATTCAAAACTTATGTTTTAATTTAATTATAAAATTTGTGCAAATCCGATAATTATGTGTATTTTAATTCAATTATAAAATTTAAGATTATGAAGTTCATATAAATAACTATCACGTTCCTTGTTTACTTTAGTAATAAAACGAAATTAGTGTTTCATCAAGACAAAATTTCTTGTCTTGAAGAGCATTTCTTGTCTTGTCTTGATTTTCGAGACAATAATTTTCGTTCTTCTTGTCTTGACCATTTCTGACATTGTATTTCTTGTCTTGAATTCCAGAATCTTGAATTTCTTGATTTTTTAAGTAGGGCCCTGTGGCTCTTTGGCTACGTTTACACCGTAGCTGCGCTTATAGCGTTTTCCACTGGGAAAACTGGTGCAACACTGGTGCGCACTGAGTGCAATTATGTTGTTTCACTGCGAAAACTAGTTCAGTGTTTAAGGGGATCCTAAAGATCTGTATTACCGACTTAAACACGTATAATTTTTGTATAACGAATACTCTTTTTCTCTTTCACGGATTGGAAAATCCTTTTCCAGGATTAAAGTATATGCATTAATACGTGTTTGTGAAGTAGAGTCTACGCTGAGAATGATCAAAAATTTCGAAATCAATATATTTTTTACCATTTCTTAGTATAACATGGCGTCTCAGCTGTCAAGTCGTGACAACATTTGTTTGATATGAAAGCTTTGCAACCCGAACGTACGAAATAATAGTTCCCAAACACGTAATTT